GGTTGAGTCATCTATTGCAGTTTTATTGAGATAGGTTCGCAACTGGGGCCATTTGGATTATAACAAATAGCTCTATTCATCAACGAGCGGCGTAGAACTGGCATGTGGATATAAGCTGTTCAAATTGCAATTTAACTATATCTGATCCGATCGTACAAATTAATAGATAACTACCACACTTGTAATAATCGCCTCCATATGTATACAAGATTGACTCAATGCAACTTTACAGTATAAATTGGAACAATGACAAATGCTCTATAACCGTGGCACAAGCCACCTGAATACAACTTCTGCGTGCAGTTTGTGAAACTAACTCTGTGCAAAATACCTACAACCTACAACTTGTAAAACAAGGCAGCTTCATAGTAGAATAACGTCTAAAAGTTTTTGAGGTTAGGATGCATTATTTATATATAGGATTATTTAATGCATATATAAAGATAGTTATTGTGCACGGCAGTGTCCTTTTTATTATCTTCATATGACTTACCTTTCGTTTCTGAGAATAAAATCTTTGTTAAAACAGTTCGTCATCCCGGTCATTATCTTTGACAAAATAGATATAGCAATATGTTTTAAACGAGGATTTTGGTCTTAGAAACCCACGGTTAATGGTTCATAGTGATCTAACAAGTCAATCTAACAAGAACTAACAAGCAATATGTTAATATTGGATGCTACATGTTTTTCCCGACTAAAATTACTTTATGCTTTCTTGAATTGTGACTAAATGAATAACCATAATTACGATTTTTTACCCGAATGACGCAGGCTTTGTTATTCGTGTAAGTTTTTTTTTGTGAATTTTTACGTATGTAAATTCCAATTAGGCTTTAGCTCAGATTTAGGCTCTAGCCTAACAACAGAATCGATTTTGACTAAAGAAAAGTCATTCGATTCTTATGCTCACAGCGTCTCAGTCGGGTTTATTGATTTTTTTAATTTTGGACCAGTTTTTTGTTCATGTTCTGTCTCATCATCATCAGCTCACTATACGTCCCCACTGAGGGGCTCGGAGCCTACCGTAAGTTAAAGGTGATTAGGCCATAGTCAACCACGCTGGCGAACTGCGGGTTGGTTGACTTCACACATATCTTTTAATTTCTTCTCAAATATGTGCAGGTTGCATCACTATGTTTTCCTTCACTGTAAGAACGTCGGATAAATATACATATGTAAATCGGAAATCGAAAAACACATTGGTGCATGGAGGGATTCGAACCCAGGACCTGCATATTGCAAGTCAAGTGCTTGACCCCTGAGCCACCGACGCTCTCATGTTTTGCCTAAGTTTGTAATTATTCTAGATAAATTGCATTATAGTTGTAAACGTTTTATGCAGCGTAGTGCTTTAGGGAGCGCGGGAGTGTAGGCTGTGACAATACTAATTCAGTTGCCACTCCGCTGGGAAATTTAACATTTTTGTATTTAAAGTTCACTTCCACTGTCTTAAAAATAATTTAACATTCTATGTCACGTTTCTTATCGTTGGTGGTTTGCGGTGATGCTGACTTTTTTTAAAATATAATATAATGTTCATTGTTCCTACTGTTGATTTAATTAAGAACTATAAATATACTAACCAACATAGAAAATATATTAAAAAGAAACTCCACCGAAAAGGTTTAACAAAGACACTTAAGGCACCATACTGGAAACCTAGAAAATATATTAAAAAAAAAATCCACCGAAAAGGTTTAACAAAGACACTTAAGGCACCATACTGGAAACCTTATATACGTAGTTTTAACAACGATAAAACTTCTAGCAAACGTAAGTTGAGTCGCTTTTTAACCGCACTCTCAACTTAAAACACTCAAGGAAAGCAAACAAATGTATTATTATTATATTTGTATTGACAGGTCATAAAATATTAACTGTTTTTTGTCAATAAATCTTATTCTGATATCGTAAATTCTAACAATAAAAAAACTGAAGGTTGAAAAGAAAAATTTAACGTAGACAATATAAAAACCAAGATTAAAAAGATAATATTGTCTATTGATTTAGAAAAACATATTGTTCTTGTATCAAAGACATTTGAAAGCAAACAGTACTTGTATCATAACATCTTGTTTGTATAATGTAAACATGTACTACTACCAGCATATTAACTTAGTGCTAAGTGTGACGGTTCACTGAGAATTAGACAAAGGCTTTGTACTAAGGTGATAAGTTTGTTTTGATTAAATCTATTACATTGAATTGTTGTCATTTACCTCTTGATGAAATAAATCGATTTCGCATCGCAGCGATTTTTAAATAAATAAAAAAATGATTATTCTGAAAACATTAATAAATCGACGACACCCGAGTAATATTAAAATATATTAATTTTTATTTTACTTGTCACAAGTCTGATTTTTTTTTTATTTAAAAAAACTATGTTGTAAAAACAAGTGCAGGTATATTGTACTAGTTTGCATATTAAAACTAAACTTTTGTAATATACGCGCCTTGTGTTACACGTATAAATAATGCTGGATGTAGGTTAAAACTAACGTAAAGTTTTTGTTATTGTTATATTTTTTTTATAAATTTTTTTAAAATATGAGTAAAGTTAGATAAATAAACTAAACCCTCAAAAATTTCCATCAACTACTACACCGTAGCAAAATCTCGTAGCACCTCGTAGTACCTCGTCGACAAATAGTTTTGAGTTTTACGTTAATTCATTGTTTTAAAATTTATTCACCTCCAATTGAGCACTTGTATTTTACTGTTTTGATTGACGACAACTTTAAGAAACTATTTCTTTGTAATACGCTAGTAGTAACGCTAAATACCAAAAGTAAATTAAAAAAAGTTTAATCTTGAATTTATGAATACAGATTGAATATTAATTGAGCATTATCTTCTCTTAAAACGTGTAATACATTTAAAAGACGTAAAATTTATGACGGGATTTTATCTAATAAAAGTGAAATTACGTCCCTCTTCATTGCTTATCAGATACTGAAACTGAAATTGGAAACCTATCGTTAAATTAATTTACATACAAATTAGAAATAGCAATTAATTTTCTTATTAAGATTGTGAGAGTAGATTAAAAGTATGATTACAAGATAGCTAATTTATTAACTCTAAAATTCATCTTAAAAGTACGCAAGACAAAGAAGGTTGTTTTATTCTTCATGGATGTGTGATGTTTTTAGCTGTTATGTATACTTCTTACTTCTTACTAATATTATAAACAGGAATGTTGGAGAATTGGAAGTGGACTTTCCGGATGAAAGGATGCATGGAAAGGGAAAATATTTTCTTTCTACGCATCCTCTCCTCCATCGATTAAAGGTAGGCAACGCATATGCAATTGCGTATGTCTATGGGCAACGGTCACTTTTAGCAAAGTGACCGTGCGTACGATGACGCGTGACGGCAAAAGACCGAGCGGCCACCTGAAATAGCTTTCACTGATTTCAGGTGGCTGATCGGTCGTTTGTCACCTTATGATATAAAAAATGAATGAATGAAAGGAGATCGTGCTGAAATTTGGCATAGATATAGAAAATAGTCTGAAAGAAAACATTAGACTACTTATTATTTTTTTTAGTTCCGCGCGGACGAAGGCCCGGGTAATAGCTAGTATATAAATAAGGTAACTACGCATACTACAACTGGCAACAAACATAATTAAATTGCCTCATTAAAGTTAACGAAATGGCAATTAGTTTTCAACGATATCAACCGTAAAACTAATAGTTAATTTATAATTTTAACATGATAATAAACTGTGCAGTTATTTCAAATGAAAGCTATTTAGTGAATTTAATGTTTTATATTAATTTCGCGACAAATTAAGCGAGGAAATAGTAAAAAAGAAAAGACTTTATTAATCTCTATTGTTATTATACATATTTTGTAATAACTTAATAATTAGTTCTATAATCCTGAGATTTATATTTTACTTACATTGATTTGAAATTCATCAAAAAATTCATATTATTTAATACTATTTTGAATTTTTAAGAATGTTCTTAAAATTTATAAAATGTAAGATTTCCCAAAGGAGTTGCGACCGGATTAGCATTGTCAGAGTCTACGAATTTGTGGCTTTGCTTCTCCCTAAAGCTTAGTTGAATATAAAATTCGAGTAACTTAAATATATGAGTGAAATTTTAATACATAAACTGCTACACTTAAAGTCTCTTAGTGGTTATTATAAAAGTGTCTTTGTATGGATTTTATATGAGAAATCTACACTAGTTATATTTTATCACTCCGACTCTATGACGACTCTGAGACCGGAAGAATATTTACTTTAATAACTGAAAAAATTACATTTCATAGTATCATTGATAAGATAAACATATACTGATATTACCTTAAATTTTTTTTTTTATCTTTTAATAAATAATCCTACTAATATTATAATTTTTTTTTATAACAGAAGGGGGCAAACGAGCAGCGGGAACACCGAGGTGTTCAACGACGCCCATGGACATCAGCAATACCAGAGGAACCGCAGATGCGTTGCCGGCCTTTGAGGTAGTGATAAGCTCACTTCTTGAAGGACCCCAAGTCGGAGCGGTTTGGAAATACCGCCGATAAATGCGAATTTTTAGATGGATGGTGGTTGTATGAAGCTCGAAGGTATATTTTTTTATTTTTTTATATATCGGGCGGACGGAGTCGCGGTCGACAGCTAGTAATTTTATAATATTGAATTTACTAAACAAAAATAAAAATGTTTTACATACGGTTAAAAATTAGGAATTGTAGAGTAATATCTTTTATACGATCCATTTAACTTTACGCTTCTTTATTTTATGAGTTCCATTTTCTCTGGTTGTTAGAAATTTAGGTTGGAGTTGAAAATTATTTTATATTTTGCCTTATTTATTTTATTTTACATAAAATATGTAATTATAAATTATTACTGTATAAATTTTTCGAAATAAAAAGTGCTGATAATTTTCGATAATAAATAATTAAATGTTTGTGATTTTATAGTCTTTTATATTATAATATTATCTGTACAAACTAATGTCATTTTAACTTTCAAATTATAATTTTTGATATATATGTCAATAGCATAGACGTTTGTTTGACGTTTCTATTAGAAATGAAATCGGAAACGTATTCACAAAACACGGAGGGAAAATTTAAATTCAAATGCTTCGACCTGTCGTCATTGTGTGGTCGACACCCTCGCAGAAGTGTGATGTTTGTCGGAATTACAGGGATGGTAAAATATGGTTCATAATAATCTTACCAATCATGCTAATATTATAAATGCAAATGTTTGTATGGATGGATATTTGTTTGAAGGTATCTCCAGAACGTCTGAACGGATCTCACTGAAATTTGGCATATTTATAAAACATAGTCTGGAAGAACACATAGGGTACTAATTATGTTTTTTTAACACGCGGGCGATAACTAGTACGTCATATATCTAAAGGTAGCCAAGGAAAAAGTAATTATTTTGTTCGAAGCGAGATAAACATATATACATGAAAGCTATAAGTTAGCAACAGACTGCCTCAAACTGTATAATTAAGCTCGTGAAGTTAAATCTTCTACAATTAAAATATAGCGCATAATTTCTTCCAGTCAATAGCAAGTTTCTTGCGTAAATATAGTCTAGATTTTTCCTTTTAATTGCAGGTAGTATCTTTAGTAATACTGCTATGTTCAGTGACGTATCTTCTCAACACGACGTACTTGGATGGCTTTAGCAAAAAGCCAATATCAGCTGTCAATTTAATATTCTCCCTGGTCTCCACAAGTTTATCAATCTATCAGATTGTTATATCTTTCTTGCTCTTTCTTCAAACTTTTTGGGTAAGCCGATTTTTTGGATATATTATTATATAATTTAGAAAGTATTCTTCTAAGATCGAAATATTACAAAAAGATCACACTTTTGGTACAAAAAAAAATCGAGGATCGCAGGATTTCGTAAGGCTTGTACAGATTAGAACTATGACAGTTTTGTGGGTTTTACAATCGAACCTAGGTACGCGAGAAACGTCTTTAAGTGAGAGACATTTCTTGGTCCCTACAGACGACCTATATAAGTGATAATTTGGGTTAGATAAAAATCTTTATAAGCGAAGAAAATATCGAGTTGCCTTGGACTCTTGTTTATCCTGGTTGACTGTAATTGTAATACATCATCATCAGCTCACTATACGTCCCCACCGAGGGGCTCGGTGCCTACCCTGAGTTAGGGGTGTTAGGCCATAGACAACCTCGCTGGCCCAGTGCGGGTTGGTTGACTTCACACATATCTTTTAAATTTCTACTCAGATATGTGCAGGTTGCATCACGATCTTTTCCTTCACCATAAGAACGTCGGATAAATGTACATATGTGGGATATGGGATTCGAACCCAGGACCTGTAGTATATTGTAATACATAGAGGCCAAATATAAACCTTCTATCGTTAGATCTTGTCAAGTAATCGTTTACGGAGACTCTAATTGCATGTATATCATAGTTTTTATATTTTGTAGGTTAACAACAGTATATTTTTATGTTCATTGTGGTACGTATCGCATCTCTCAATCCTGATAGTATATGGAATACTCTATATCGCAAGATCTGTTGTATGTTTCTTACAAAATATGTATGCTCCAGCAGTTGTTACCATTTTTGTTGGATTCGTTTATGAAGGTATGTATTGGATTATAGATTTAACATTTTTTTTTCAATTAATTTCATGACCTTTATATTATAATTTTTCAGCCGTGTTCATTTACTTTTGCGTTGTTGTGAACAATTACATGAATTCTTTAAACCAAGTCAGATATTTTTGAAAGTTTGTTATCAACATAATATTAGTATTAATTGTAAAATGACAATAAAAGAAAATATTTAGTATAGATAATAGTTTTTAATTTGTTACTTAAAAAAACAATAAACGTGTTTCGCGAACAAATTTAACTTTTTTTCCAATTGGTCGGAAGCTAGGTTTTACAAAGTTATGTGTCGTAGGTGTCGAAAAGGACCAATTGTTTTAATTCTACTAGTTTTGAATTAGTGAATTAATAAAAGCTTAGCTAAACAAATGACGGAGAGTAGAGACGAGTAACCTTACAATTAGACAGAGGCAACGTCCAAACTACGAGAAGTTAGTGCAACAGTAACTCCTGAGGCGTTCGTCTTTAAATAAACTTAATGTAACAATAGCCATTAAGTGGTGGAAGCCTTAATGGACTTCGTCTTGTGAAAACATTTACTCTCTTGTGTTAGAAGTAAATTAATTAGTTTAGTAGATATCGAATTATAATTGTGAGGATATTGAACATTGCAATATTATTTGTTTGTAAACAAATTACAAAAATAGTGTCTTACTGTGAGATAATTCTATTGAAGTAGTGAGAAACTGTTAAAATTAATTGTTAATTTTGCAAAAATATTAGGACTTTCTTTTGTAACTTCATAATCCTTTGTTTGAAATGAATATCTATTTGCCAATAAAAAACTCATTGTATCAATTATTGTATAATATTAATTATTGATTTGATATTAGAGGTTATTTGAAAGACTAACCCTGGGTTTCTGACATCAAAATCAATTTATAACATATTGTTTTGTTAAAGATAATGACAGGGATGACGATAAGTTTTTTTTTTTACAGAGATTTTGATCTCAAAAACTTTTGGTTAGTAAATTAAGTGAGTTACCTGTATCTGAAATAAGTAGAACCAGTAGTTTTCGCTTAAACAAGTTTCAAATCCAACAATGACAAATGTTCATTCTGAAAGCGAACACTGTAGCGTTACTATAACACGCCCAAACTTCACCAAACTAACCAACGGCCAACAACTGGCGGGTAGTTGTGAAACATGGCGCCTCTATTCCATTATTGTTTCTATTTCCATTCTAAAACTAAACAAAAAACTGTACGATAAAATTTGTGTTACTTATTTACGCATTTCGTAAATAAAAAATAATTGTGCCGTCTATGGACGCCTAAAGGAGATAAGGTATTTAGTACAAAGCGCAGAAACTTATCGTCAAATTAGTACAGATATCAAAACACCCTTTATATATTCATATTAAATAAATAACCTGATTTTTCGACATAGAAGAGACAAAATATATCAGATTTAAATCTGTTGCTTTTGAACTAGGAACGGAAAATATTTTCAATACAAGGCAAAAGACACGTTTAGTCAATAACGATTTTTTTCCCTGCGACGCTATTTTCCTCAATGACGAAGACAAACAAGGGAGAGTGCGAAATTTCCCTTGTTTATTTTTTGCTTCTTTGTGTCATAATCCTGAGTATTTTTTTCTGATTGCACAATACGTTAAATTTATAATGCAGTAACTGTAATAAAGTGGGATGGAATATGTAATTAAACATGAAATAAATTATAATTTTTTTTATCAAAAACAGTACTAAGCAAAAAAGAAATAGTGTGCATATGCGTATGTATTTATACATTTTAAAATCTTTGTACCATTTCAATTCAATAATATAAAAACCTACACACTACCTTTGGACACACCTCACCTACACTACACTACTCCTCACTACTCCTCCTACACCTCAAAATTTGGACGGAAGCAAATTGTTTCCCGAACCCGTCTGAACAGGTAGTTCACACGAGCGCAGTTGGGATTGCCCAAATTGGAACATCAGTACATGACAAAGATTTGAAGGGTCACGAATGATAATGATCGCTTAAACTATTAGGTTATTTTTAAAGCTGTTACAGTTACGATTATACTGACAAATGGATTGATGATTACGAAAGTACTTGTATATAAAATTATCGTGTTATAATATTACCGTACTCCTCCTAAACGCGGATTGACGATTTTTTTTCATTATTGATTTCAAAAAGCAGATTCCGGACACACCACTTATTTTAGGACATGTGGAGATAAAGTAATAAATGAACATCATGTTGAATTTTTCTGTAATTTCCCAACCTTAAGATGTATAGTAAAAAATTCAATAGGGTCGTACCGCTTGGCGTAAAATGGCACATCAGTCGCTTATTGAGTTCCTCTTATAGCTTAGCTAGGTTTATTAAATACGTGACAAATTCCAACTGTGGTGTAGCCATAAAATATCTTCCCGCCACTCATACAAAGAGCTGCTAACACCAAACTTGCATAGTAACGACATTCTGTCTTCAATATCATGCAAATGCTGTTGAAGTCGACGCAAAGCTCACGGGCCGTTCTCTTACTAAAATATTAAAGGTAATCTTCTTACCTTTGAACGTACTAATATTTTAAATCCACATCTAACACGGAAGCTGCTCACGAGATACGATATTAAATAGAATTTGTAATTTTAAGTCAAAACTGTGTACTTTACTGTTCCTTCCTAGGTATTGATTGGTCTGCAGTATATATTTATTGTGGTTAAAAAATTAAATAAAATCCTATTTACTTACCTGTGACGAGCCCTCGGTTTTATTCATAAATATTTATGTCAAATTGCGAGATCTAGCCTATCTTTTAAAATGAAGTATTTATGTGTAAGCAGTTACGTATCACCAAAATCGCTTTGGTAGTTTAGTAATTTGCCACGGATTTGTTTTATGTAGAAAGAGATTGTAGTACCAATTATTTTTTTTAGTACATCTATAAGCCGATGCAATCCATTAACAAATTGAGTGAGCACTCGGCACGCAGATTTAATTTCATGGCAATAATGGAAACAAATGTTTCATTCTCCCCCTTCGTATATCTATAGTTACTGGGGCCAGCCAGAAAGCTAAACTAATGATTAATTCCATCTTTAAAATTTATTATTCTTAAATAGTATTTTTGTCAGAAGTATAAAAATTATCAAACAATTAAGCATAACGTGCAATAATCGGATGCGATTCTAATGTGTTGGCAAGATTGGTCTGTTGTAGTGTACTTAATTAATAATTCATTTTTATGCTGGCTGTACCAAAATGTTCCGGTGTTCGTAAATGCAATATGGACTCTTCAATACTAGACTTTTAAGTATTTCTTTATTCACATTATTCGTGTTATTTCCAGGTAACGTGTAATCCAATTTATAATTTACATAGGGCCACGAAATAACCGGTCTTGGTAGCGTTACGTAAAAATGTAACTATTAATTTCGCCCCTACTTATACGTTAAGCTCGGGAGGTGTTAATCCCTACGGAAGAGTTTCACCGCTCATAAAATATGCATTGGATAAACATTGTAGCTGTGGCGGATTCGTGTTCACTTCGAATCGATTTAGTGTCGATAGAGCAGGGGTATAATGCACACATCCACATAATCTAATTCGTTTGCTGTTAAACTTTTCAATTCTATAGCGACTAAAATTACTTACGAAAAATAAAATTACAATTGGATTGTAATAATTAATTAATTAGCAAATAAATTGTATGGCCTTTATAGGTGCAAAAATTTGAATCCTAATTTTTGTCATATTTATCAACTGCAATAAATAAAAATAGACATATTTGTATTAATTTTACTGTAAAGCGCCTGTAATAAAATAATAGTCTTAAATTTATTTATTAAATTTGCTATTAAAAACTAACTGAAATTTTTATGAATTTTGGTAGGTCTGTCTTGCTAAATTTATGCTCTATTCTACGATACGGAAATCCATATTCCATTTTTGTCTTAAACAGGTCAATTCTTGACCCACATTCTTGCTAAACACAAGCATCGCAGGAATGTAGGCAAGTATTCTTATCGGTCCTTGAAGTTGACTTCATACTGGGAAAATGAGAAAACCAATTAGGGACGTGAGATCTTTCTACAAAGAAAAATTAAACAATTTTTCTATCTCCGCATTCCTATGGTCATATTTTAATAAAAAAATATTTAACATTGTAGTTATGGCTTTACTATACGTAAAGTATAATAAGTAATTAAATATAAGTAAATGCAACTAAGCTAAGAGAATCTTAAAGTACATGCAAGTAGCAAAGGGACGTCTCTTGCATTAAGTAACACAGACTAAGCTTTCTGAACCAATGCTCAGTGTACATACTGTAGCCTGAATAGAAATGCGCTAATTTTACATTTGATATGATAGGAGTAGGATATTTATTTAATTAACTTGTTAATTGCTCTATTGACTGACTTGATTGGAATTTGTTTTAACATGTATATTTGTATTTTCAATCAACTACAACCTCCGAATCCACAGATTTTGATAAGTTAAATATATCCGATTTATATTAAATTATTTCGTTAATAAGTCACTTCTTATCACACAAATCATAAATTAAACTGCAATTAACGTGTAATATAAGCACATAAACAGTGCTAGCATTAATAATTCCTGTCTTGACATTTATAACGAGAGTTTTAAACTAATTTGTCGAGTAGGAAGATATCGGCGCAGCGAAGGCAACTCCAACCGACTCTAGCTCATGAATATTCAGTGACAGACGAACTGGACTTGTGAGCTACGTAAACTTATATCGAATGCACAAACAGACACACGATGCATGCTAACAAATAACATCAAATCGAACTTACGAACTAGTAATGTCATTGCATCGTTACTAAAATTGTTACTCGTGTCTTGGTTGTTAACTAAATGGTATAAAAAGGCACTTAAAGTAAATCTTCCAGGACAATTTACATAGTTAAACATATATAATTTATTTACATTTTAGCATGGAGTAATATAATTAAACTTTATTCTCATGACTTTCTATAAATTAAAAGAAAAATAATAATCAATATATTAATTACTTTGTATTTGAAAAATAGTTTTTAATTCCAATAAATAATTGAAACCGCAAACAAGTAATTGATTTCCTATTAATTATCCTTCTAAAAATATCCTTATAAATAATAATTAAATTTGAAAAAAAAAAAAGCTGCAACGAA